ACAAAAACATTGTACACCAGTGTCCATGGCAATATTGTTCATGATAGTGAGCTGTGCCAGGCTGGGGACATGGCTGAGTGATTAAGAGCACCAGCTGCTCTTCCAGAGGTCCTGAGTTCAAAGTCTGCCTGGGACACAGGATGAATTCAAGACCAGTTTGAAATAGAAAAAAAAAAAGTAATATTTTTTTTCAATTTCAATTAGTTCTTTATTTAGTCTGATTTTTCACAAACAGAAGGAATATTTTTTTTCATGCTGGGGATATAGCTCAATGGTAGAACACTTGCCTGGCTTATGTGAGACTCTAGGTTCAATCTTCAGTAGTGAACAAAAAAAAGCAAAACAAACAAGTGGAACAGTTCACACTTTCATCAACTGATTCCAAGATAATAAACAAAATATCTTATATTCAAGCAGTAGACTATTATCCAAACTTACAAAGAATAGACAAGGAAATACTCTGCAACATGGATACACCTCTGAGGTATTATGTTAAGCGAAAGAAGCCAATCACAACATGCCATGTACTGTGATATTCTATGTGCAAAATGTCCCGATGAGGAAACTATTTAGAGCTGGAAGGCACATTGATGGTTGTCTAAGGCTGAAATGTACAATGTTTCTTCACAAGGGATATCTGACAAAAATGCTGTAAAAGTAGACTATGAGTATGTAAATATACTAAATATATGTAAATACATGCAAATATACTAAACCCATTGAATTGCATACTTTAAGTGGGTGGACTTTCTGCTATGTAAATCATATCTTAATCATGTTTTTAAAAAGACTAAAGGAAGTGAGAAAAATTGGAGGTGGCAAGTATAGAGAGGTCTGAGGAATTCCTTGAGCCCTTAAAGATTCACCAGAAAATTAACAGTGTACAGTTATATTATTGTAGCCAAGAAGGAGGCTTCCCAGATGAGGTGCAGGCAAGAAGAGCTCCTGGGGCCACTTCTCTGTACCTCCAAGTGGAAGGTCTGCCCAATTCCCTGTCTTTATTCTCCCCCCACACACACCCCCGTTAGCATCAACCACAGTGTCCGAAACACAAGGAGCTGTAGCTCGCTTAAGTTGTGGACCATTTCTGTTTATTATTTTCTCTCCCTTTTCTGTTTGCATGTTACTGGTACATAGGAATGAACCTCTAGTCTTTTTATTAAAGAAGTAAAGACCAGTGTCTGTCTTGGCTGGATCCACCAAGCCTCAGGGGAAACAGAGCAGGGAGGCATCCAGAGGCATTTCTGCAGACAGGGCAGCAATGGATAAATAAACCTCCTACCATAAAAGTCTGAAACTTGCACTGCCCTCCTCAGGCCACGGTCAGGCTCTGGTGGACGCTGCCAGCAAAGATGACCTGTCATTGTTGTTCCCCTTGAAGAAAGGCACACGGGTTTCTCCCAGGAAATTCTCGGCTAGTTCCACCTGCAAGGAGACCCAAACTCCACCAAGTGTGATTTCTGAGGGTTGGCTGGCAGAGCCTTCTTGAGAAGGTAATCACACAATGCTGTCTGGCCTTCAGAGACAGATTCAGAGTCATGGAGAGAGGTCTCCCTGATGCTAGTATCCAGGCACACCTTGGTCCTGCCCCTTGGGAACCTGGCCCCCTCTGCGTATGGCAAGCAGAACCCTCACTGTATGCAGGCGCAAAGGTCCCTTTAAGAGACAAGCTCTTCCCATTCCCAAGTGCTCTCTCTCTCTCTCTCTCTCTCTCTCTCTCTCTCTCTCTCTCTCTCTCTCTGTGTGTGTGTGTGTGTGTGTGTGTGTGTGTGTGTGTCTTCCCTCCCTTCCCCTACCCTCTTCTCTTCTCACACCCAAACTATGCCTGTGTGGCATATCCTGTCATCCGCCGCAGTCCTTTCCCGCCATGGGAAGGGATCCCTCTCGCACTGTATTATAGCATCTGACCCTCCAAATATGGATGGGGGAAATGCTGTGAGACCACATCATTGAGACCTAAGGGGCTGGAAATTTCTGGTTTCCTCTTGAAATGAGACATTCGAGAGTCATGGAAAAGTACAAGGCAGAGTCACACGCCACTGTGGAGAAGGTGCCGAGGAGCTCATCCTGATAGGGGCCCGACTCCTGAGCGGACTTTCTTCCTGCCACCCCTGTGCCTCGGTGTGAGCCAGGCAGAGCACAGACGGGACTCTGGCTGTGTCCTGGCCTGGTCGCTATTCCCGGGGACATGCCAGAAGAAAGGGGTTGTGATTGTTTGACACAGGCCCCTTCTTGCCCTCTGAAAGCCCTGTTTGAGCTCCTCGTCTGGGCCTTCCGGTTCTCCCAAGCACTAGTGAGTCCTTTCCCCCTTAGTGTCGGCGTCCGACCCCAACATAAATTGTCTCTCTGGACCAGCATGGAGGCGCGGGAATAATTGAGACACAGTTCACACAGCAATATCGGAAGGGAGTCTCAGGGTTCATTCAAATCCTGAAGATCACCTGCGTTTATTCTCAAAACAGCTTTTAACCCCACAGGTAAACTGAGGGGGAAGTTCATTAGCTTTCTGTTTCCGGGGTAGCAGGACTAAAGTCAGGTCCACAGCTCTGTCACCGGCTTGGATTAGCACCTCTTCCCAGGCGATCTCCATAATTACAAAGAAGGGAGCAGAACAACATCAGCCTACCTGACCCAGGCGGCCACCAGTCTGTAAGTGCTGTGACCACCTCAGGTGTGGAACTGTGGTTGAGAGCCTGGCCACCATACAGTGCAGAAATATGTGGCCTGGATGACACTGCCCCCCACCTTAGCTTTCCTACCGACCCAGACTCACTCCTCTTAGCCCATTGGTCCTCTCTTCTCTGCACACGGCGTCCAGTGCTCTGCCCACTGAGGCTCTTCCAGCACACCAGAGCTTGGGCCACCAGGCTTCCCTGGCTCTCTCTTCTGGCTCCAGATTCTCAGGATAGACCAGTTGCTTGTCACACCTCAGATGTGACATTGACCCATCAAGAGGCCACGAGGCTTACCTCACCTAGACAGAACATACCCGATTGTTCCATCACGTTCTTGTAGGGTCAGGTTTCGAGGCCCATCTTTGTTCTTATCTTTCCTCTCCTGGAAAGAACATTAGTCAGTATTTCCTCATTCACCCCAGCCTCTCAACATGGAGGCTGAAAGAGAACCTGAGGTCTGAGGACTGCCCGGGCTCTGCCGCTGATTAGCTGTGAGGCGGCCAAGATGTCTTTGTTTCTCCGAGAACTCATTTCCTCCTCGATCTATTTCCTCATCCACAGCTTTGTCACAGTAAGTGAAATATTGTCACAAAGAACTTACTGCGGAGGCTGAAACAGTCACCATAAGTTTTCAATATATGCCCTTCACATTTACTTTAAGGTTTTCATCTGTTCATTCAGGCAGCCAGCCAGCCAGTCAGTCATTCATTCATTCATGGTGTACTTAGTGATCTTCACGCCAGGCCCTGCAATATGCCTATGTCTTCCAAGAGGAAAGCCACTTAGACCCAGGAGGAACAGAGTGGAGAACTGAGGCCTGCCTCCGCAGCACAGCAGAAGCAAACGCAGCCTGAGCCTGAGGAGGCTGCCCCGGAATTGGCAACAGCGAGTCCATCCTTCTGTGTCTTTAAATACCCTTAGAGCGCTGTGCTAAGGTGAGCATCACATGACAGGGGAAGTGAGAGGGTCCTGGGGGAAATACCCGTTCTTCCTGCTTGTTCGTTACAGAGGGTGGCCATGCCATGGCTGTGCGGAGGGCAATGTCCTTCAGGGAGGCCTTGTTGAATCTGTCTGGGACTGTTCCGGAAGGAGGAAGGGCGGATGGGGTGGAGAGACAGCTGGAATGTTCTGGCCTGCTGTTGAGCGCAGCCAGCCTGCAAGAGAGGAGGGCCTCTGGACATCAAAGGTTCCTTTTGTCCCTTTCCGAGTGGCAGAGCAGCCGGGCCACTGGCTATGACTCAGGCCTGGCCCTGACGTCACCCACGCCCTGCTGCTGGCCTCGGGTTTGTAGCCAGGAACCTGACCAGGGAGTGGTTCTCTTAGCTGCAGCAAATCTCGAAACTGGGAGGCCACTGCTGTGCTCGCTCTATTTCCCCTCAAGCCACCTTATTTCTTCTTCTATTTCTTCTTCTTTTGTTTTAAGCCTTAAGGAGGGCTTTACTTGTAAATCAACTTTCCAAGTGTAAGCAGTCAGAATGAGTGACATGGTGAGAAAATTATGTGGCACAGAGCTCAACCAGGAGTTGAGGAATCCAGAGGAAGAATGCGGTGGGGCCTCCTGAGCCCAGGAAGTTGGCAGCGTGTGGGCTTCAGAGCCAGCACCTCTGAGTAAGTGAAGGCCTCTCAGCCCCTCAGCCCAACATGGTGGGTGCCATCTTGCTCCCAAGAACCAGGCCTGGTAGACCCTGGCCCAGAGGAGGGAGTGGGGACGGCCTTTGGGACACCTTCTAAACATAGCCTCAGAGGGGCCTGCTCTCTCTCTTCCCCAGGGCCCAGCAAGATCAAATAAACAAAAGGTGCTCAGAGGAAACCCTGAGGAGAATGTCCTACTGGGTTGGGGATTCTTGTTTGCTCTGCCCACCTGAGCTCTGTTTTGAGAAGGAAACCAAAATATGTGTCTGGGGTTCTGGACAGTTTGCTTCCTGGATCGTCTAGGGGGTGATCAGACATAAGACAAGCCCCATCCTAGGCAAGCATATGCTTTGCCAGTCAAATAGTATTTTCACACTTAGCGGGGGAAGGGTGGGGCAGGGGATGGATAATGGCAGACCTGGTCAGAAAGGGGCCACAGCCAGCCTGCCTGCCTTGGGAGCACCTTCCGCATGCTCTGTGCTTCGTTATCTCCTTGCTGTCCTGTTTGCCGTTTCTCATTTCCACTTACGTTGCCATTAAGCAGGGACAATAAGCAGAGGTGAAACACAGTTCATCTGTTTTCATATCATCTAAAAACTCCTAGGCCTTTGCATAACCTGTCATTTATGAGTTCTGGAAGTTTCTACTCAAGAAATTTCAGTTTCTATGGAAAAACATTTTTTTTTTCATGGGGCGTGAGAGTCACAGAGCTGACAGACCTAGAGCTGTAACTCAGTTCTCCTGGCTTCTCAAGTCACCTCCCAAGTGACGGTCTCTTTTCTGCAGATTTTCCTCAGCACATTAAGTCGGTTCTTCACGCGCTAATGTGGTTGCGTGTATCTTAGAAAATGACCTTCACGTTAAGGCAGTGGAGAAGTTTGTCTTTTAGCGAGAAACACAAATCTCTGGTGAGTCAACATCCTATGAGGTGAACCATCACACTTCAGTCTATGTTTTGAAGGTCTTGTGTTTTACGTTTTAAATATGATTTTACAGATGAGGCTGTCTTGAAGCGAGGCTGTGCCAATCTGCCATTCCTCTGGCTGAAAGATCTGAGCGCTGCGTGAGAAATACTTTGGTGAGTACCATTTGTCCCTGATGACTCCCTGCTTCTACGTCTCTAATTCTACTTTTTTTTGGGGGGGGGTTGGACAATAAAGAAAAGGGTACAGGACATGGGTACTGTTGCACAGAATGACAACGGCTGTGTCAAAGGGGATATGTGTCACGATAAGCTAATTGCTACCATAAATATAGATTGACTTAAACACAATAGGGTTTGTTTTTAGATCATGTCACAGTGCAGGTTGGTTGGGATAACTCTCTTTCAACCACTCGTTCAGACTCAAGGCTAGGGGTAGAGTTCAGTGGGCGTGCCCGAAGTGCCCAAGTCCCTTGGTTTGATGACCAACAAACACTAACAAAAGCAAAACCTTCAGAGTTTGAAGGAGACTCTGCTGTCAGCAGCAGGTGGTTTTCAGAACCACCAGGGTGTATCTTCGCACCACAGTGGAAAAGAGCAAAGAACCTAAAGAGCGTACGGGGAGGGTCTTACGGGTTGAGGTGGTCCATATCATCTTTCTTCCCATCCCATTGGCTAAAACCCAGGGACATGACTGTAGCTAGCTTAGGGCAGCCACTTCCCAGAGACAACCGTGGAGAGGTTCTGGAGAAAGATAATCTCTTCAGCATTGAGTGTAAAAGCTTGGAAATGCTCAAATATAAGGCGGTAGAGTGGAACAGTGTGTGTGTGGTGGGGAGGGGGTTGGTGGTGGTGGATGGTAGATGATGGGCTGGAGAGAGAGCTCGCTTGGTGCCCTTGCAGAGGACCCAGGTTCAGTTCCCAGCACACACAGGGGCTCATGTCTCTCTGGGATTATCCAGTTCCTGAGGACCCAGTGCCGTCTTCTGGCCTCCTTGGGCACCAGACATGAACATGGTGCACAGCCATACTTCCAGGCAGGCAGATAAGTAGCAAGTGTACACATGTAAGATAAAAAATAAATCTTATAGAAGCATATTTAATGACAAGCATATAGGGTACACACCTGTAAACCCAGGTAGGAGACAGAGACAAGAGGGTTGCTCATGAGTTTAAGACCAACTGGTCTCATACTGAGTTCCAGGCTAACCAGGGCGACATAGCAAGACCTTATCTCAAAACAACAGCAAAAATTAGGAGATATTTAGAATTCACTATGGGACACTCACAGGTTTTACCTGGCCATGAGGGCAAAGAACAGTGAGAGAAATTTCCCAAGATGCCTCTGTCCATTCTAATCCTAAGATTGAGGTAAACACATTCCTGTTGCCAGTGGCCAGTGAAACAGGAAGGGCAAACTCTCCTTATTTTTCCTCCCTCTATTCTCTTGTTTAGGTCTTTTCTGGCTTTGCTCCTTTCATGTTCTTGAGTCAAGCAAACTAGCTGCCAATGGGATTGTGCTCCCACAGCTATAAGCTGCAGTGATGTATAGGAACGTGCCTGGAGCCCTGAGCTATGGTTCTGCCCAGTCCTGGAGAATTTGGGAGACTCTTCTACCCCATCTGTACCAGGCCCTACAGTGCTTTATTAGTGAGAGGGCTCCTCTAAGAAGAGACCCTCAAATAAAACTATTTGAAAAATATCTTAATATAGACTATAAAAGACTTGGACAGGAACATTAATGCTAACCCCATGAGTTACACCCAATGTATAATTCTGCCTTTTTCTTTTCGGGAAGTCTCATTTACTGAAACAGTGAGGGGCACATGTATGAGCCCTATTTGGAGAGCCTTGTCTCACTTTATAATTTATGTAGATTTTTAGCCATTGTTGGTTTTTGTAGAATTCTCTTCTCACTGGTAAATGTCAGGAAAGGGCTCCAGTAAAGATCTGTTCAGGCTGCCTGGTACATAGTTCTCTAGATTTGTGGTCAGTATCTGTCTAAGCAAATTAAATGTTGCCACTAGGCTTGATACTCCTGGCTTCCACATCCCTACCCTGAAGAGCGAGCATTGTCCATTGTGTGGGAAGATCTGGTCCTGGCCAGTTTGATAGCCTCTTAGACTGCTGTTCGTCCCTTCACATCAGGAGTGGGCTGAACAAATAGCAAGTTGTTTTGTTTCAGTTTTTCAAAAATACGTCCACCTCTGAAGGTGCACTTTCTGGGGTTGTTGAGCCCTAAGAATGTCTACTGAGCAGGCTGGGAAGATGGGAGAGTCAAGACTAAAATATCCCGAGTGTGGGAATGCACAGCCCACTGGAAGCCAACACCTGACGGAGTGAGCTGAAAAGACGCACAAGATCTCAAAAGTTCTGTCTTACCAGAGTTTTCCAGGAAATGCAGAGCCAAAGGCCACAGGCAGGAAGAACAGTGTCATGGCCCCTGACTTAGGAGCTGGGCTGCACCAGTTACTTCCTCACACTGTGACAAAGCGCCTAGAGGGGGACACATTTATTTGGGCTCACGGTTCCAGAGAATTCACTCCACGGTGGTTGTGCTCCTAAGCAAAAGGATGTGGCAGCAGCGATACATAGTGGGAAGTCATGGGACCAGAAAGAGGTCTATGAAGGGACCAGGGCAGAATAGAGTTGTGAAGACACGCCCTCCCTGACCTGCTTTTCCCAGCTAGGTCTCATCTGCCAAAGCATCCAGAACCTCCAGTATTATCGCCAGTCGAGGGCCATGTGTACAAGCCTGTGAGCCCACAAGGGAACATTTCAGATTCAAACCTTAACACTGACTAATCATGGCTTATTAATTTCAGCTACCATCTGATATAATCCCCTCAATATATATAGCATAGCAAATTGATACAGGAGTGATTTCTGACATTTCTAGCTATACTGTATGACAAGGAGAAGTGTGTGACCACCAAATCGAGTAACCAGAATTTCATTACTGTAAACATGTAATATCTGAAAGAAAGCCATAGAGCCTTATGACCACCTGACATTATTAGGATGGCAGGCGGGGGTGACCTCAAAGGCATCACCAGCAGGGCAGGATTGTGCACAAGCACACAATTCATACTTTTATATTTGATATTTTTTAAATGGCACCAAAATAGATCTCACAGGAAAAAAAACTTTCATAAGTTTGTTTCACTTTAATCTTATATTTTATTATTTTTCATTTTAATCATACATGAGTTGTGTAATTCACATTGGAGACACCAGGGTCTTTGCAGGGTTAGGTCATCTGAAGAAGTGTGCCTGCCCTTGTGTATCCACAACGAACACTGACAAGTTGAATAGGACAGCTTCACATGGACATCTGGGTCTCAGAGGTTATAGAGTTCTTGAAGCACAGATACGCTAGCTCCCTTCTTCCTGGTTCAGCATTATGAATGCCCTGTTACCCTTTTTAAAGAGTTTTGCAAAGAGCTCACGTCGTATTTACGACAGCTAAGAATTCATAGTAATTGGCCTTTGTCATTTCTCACACTGAAATCCCCTAGTTCTCGTCAAGAACCAATTCGGAAAACACCACACAAAGGACTCTGGGGTTTTGTTGTTAACTCAAGAAGCCTCTGGTTTTTACCAGAACTTTCAAGCTCCTTCTCACCTTCAAAGTAGTGTTTTATTTCGTTGAGACCGTTAAATTGAGTAAGGTTCCGCGCGGAATGGTTTGGGCAATGAGGACTGTGAAGACCAAGTCAGCGTGCTTGTGACAATTGCCACCGCATGGTCAGCGTTGGCGTCTTGGCTTTGGAGATTGCTATGAAGTAGCACTGTTTTGAAACAAGAAAAATTCTCCCTGAATCGCCTGCATCTGTGATCCTTAGCAACATGCCTAAGCAAAACACATGGTACAACTAGTTCAAAGCCACTTGGTCAGGTATGGGTGTGGGCCAGCGGCTCAAAAGCGCCAACTTCACCAAAGACTTTGAGAGAAACTGGTTGAGCATCTCTGTGCCGAGAGCTGATTCCTGGAACTCTACTGAGGGTCCCAGCACATGGGAACAAGGCAGGCTTGATGTCTACTCTGTGGAAGCAATCTTGATCACTTTTCTGTGGCTGTGATACAATGTCCTGACAAAAGTCACTCGAGGGAGCAGGGCTTTATTTTGCCTCAGTCTGGGATTGTCTACCGGTGTGGTTGGAAAGTCACGGCAGCAAGAGCTTGAAGCCGCCGGACACAGCACATCCACTAACCGGGAGCAGAGAGTAAGGAATGTTCCTACTCAGCCTGCCTTCTCCATTTCATGAGGTACAGGATCCCCACTCAGGGAATGGTCCTGCCCACAACGGAGATGGGGTTTCCCACAAGAATTAACCTAACAAGATAAATTCTATCGCAGATACTCTCAGAGGCTAACTCTCAAATAGTCGTTTCTCACAGGTATACCTGGAGGCCCAAGCCCTAAGCGATTCTAGAGCCTGGCTAGGTGACAGATGATACTGACCATCCTAGAGGCACTGATTTGGGTTTGTGCTTCCTAAGCTACATGAAAGAGGGCCGTCAGTCTGTCTGCTGTGATGGGGGTTACCCTTCTATCCAGAATCTCATCACAGGAGGAAGGGAGTAGCCAGTAAAAAGGCCTTTCTCGTTGACTTAAGTTCAAGGTAGCAGCTATATCAAGGCGCCTTGCAAGGGAGTAGGTTAGGATTCCCCAGAGACAGGCTGCACCCTTCATCTGCATCTGGGCCACGCTTGGCTGGACTTACAACTTCATTACAACATTTCTCTTCCTTCTTCCGTTCTACAGAAGACAAATTCCTTTTTAGTTTGCAGTTTTAGTTTTTGTTTTTGTTGGGTTTTTTAAATGGCTATTATCTTTGCACTGGCATATTTTAATTTAGCCATTTTTAAATGGATATTTTGATTGCCTCTGGTGGTCCACTGTTACAAATATATAAACACTCTTGAACGTAAATCCTTGTGGGCAATTTAAGGAAAATCCCCAGAAATGGAAGTGTCAAGTTGAATGATCTGTTTTTAAAGTTACCAGTTGGTAAATGCTGGTCCACAGATCATCAGTGTCTAACTCAGAACCTGGTCCCCTGAGGTTTCTCACATGAAAACACATGTTCACAGGTCCCTGTGACAACAGAAACTCTGACTGTAGTCCCAGAC